TAAATTTATATAAATTATAAAATTATCTTTATTGAAAATAAATGATTAATAAGTTTTGTTTAAATATTCATAACTTTCTTCTTTATATTCGCAACAATGCAACAATAAATTATAACTTTATATATTAAATTTTTATTTACCGCTACATTATTGCGAATATAAGAAAAAAAGTTGTTAATATTTAAATAAAGTTTGTGAATTATTTATTTTTAATAAGGATAATTTAATAATTTATATAAATTTATTAATAACATAAAAGTCTTTAAAAATTTTAAAAAATCATAATATTTTAAAAAATTAAATTATCATTTATATATTTTAAAAAATTATTGTTATTGTTTTTAATCATGCTTGCATAGAAAGATCTGGAGTTCAGAAAATGTATTTTTAAAATTAAAATGAAATAAAACTTAAAGTAAAATGACATTGATTCTTGACCTTGTCCCTTGAAATTGATGGCGCGAGTCTCTACCTGGGATACAGTAAAAAGTCAGTGGGACCCACAAGAGCTTCAAATTCAAGCCAATGGAGAACTGGATAAGACGCGTCTTGTCTTAACATCAAGAATAATAGTTATTGTTAAATTATTTTCCTTGACAAATGATATCTTAAAATTTTGTTAGATAAATAAAATATTTTGTAATTCAGTTTCATTTTTTTATAATGAAAAACACTGGTATTTATTTTAAATCCCATTATTTACAATTTATGAACAATATAATCCACAGAATGTATAAAAACATGTAAAATTAAGAAATAAAAAATATGACCCATTGGCCATAGTAATAAATTAAAAGTAAAAACAGACTAACAACAAGGTTTTTGGTTCCACGCCTATAACCGGGGGAAAGAAAATCCACTGGAGCCATTAATGATGTGATCATCCATTATATAATTTTTATAGAAATTTCAATAAACTATATGATTTATAAATTATACATAATATTATTTATTATACAAATTTTGGGAAATACACAAGGCGCATTAATTATTTTTTTTATCACATCGCCCAATATCTTAATAAATTAAGGTTATCACCATCACCTGTTTAAGCTAATTCAGGTTGGCAAAAAAAAAAAAACAAGAAGAAGTTTAAACTAATTCAGATTTTGATTGTGTAAGATTGTTATTATCGATGATAATTTTATAGTTATCTTCAGAATGTTTTTAACATTTTAATTGAAGGAAACTATAAATTTTAGAGCTCAAATTCAAGAGTTAAGATTCTAGGATAAATTAATCATTGTAATTGTATATGATAAGTCTGATTGAGATAAGTTGAAATTAGAATTTAATCCCAAAAACAAAAAAGAAATTAGAATTGAGAGCGGGGTGAGGAAAGTGGAAGGAATGACGTGGGAAGTGGGGGAGTGCCAGCAGGTTATGAAGAGGCTCCAACTGGCAATGTGGGCCCCTCATGAGAGAGAGAGAGAAGAATTAAACAAAACACGCAAAACAAAAGGCTTCGAAATGGCGGCATTATGCGTTCCCTCCTTCCAACCCGAGCCTCCCCTTCCACGTCCACCTTCTTTTTTTTTCCTTAAAACAATTAATTATTTCGTCCATGTATTATTATTATTTTTTGGGGCCGAAAGCTATGTATTATTAACTTGATTGCAACTTTTTTTGTGTGCCAAAATTTAAAAGCTAAGATATATGAGTTAAATTTTAAAAGGTAAGTTGTAACTAAATTAAAATTATTAGGACTAAATAATTAATTATTTTAACATAAACATCAACTTCCTATCCCTTATTCCCTCAATTTAAATTTTTACTTTTTTAAGTATTATGTTAAAAAAAATTCCCTCTAATTCTATTTATAAAAAAAAAAGAAAATATTTTTTCTATTGATGATGCATGACGTTATTCTTTTCCATTGCAAATTTTCTCTTTTACGACATTTAATAACTTACAATATAATATATTTAATAAAGATAAAATTGATAAATTATTTAAATTTTAAATAAAAATATTAAAGTTTAATATTTTTTAATTTAATAAAATAGGTTGAAAGTCATTTTTAGTAAGAAAAGTTTATGTGAAAGTGATTTTAAATATAAGTGAATGAACTATAAAACATTTTTGGTCCTTTTAACAAAGCAATTTTTATATTTTAAAATGTAATTAATAATATTTTTAGTTGAGAGTGTAATTAATATATTTTTTATTAAAATATATTGTTAATTAAGAACAAACATAAAAGAAAGTGAAGTTTTAAAAAATATTAATTAACTTATCAAGAGATTGGCCAAAAAAACTTATTAAGAGTATAAATTAGTTAAAAATGTTTTATAGTTCATAAATTAATTTGATATTTCAATGAGTCGGTCGTATATCAAATTTTAAAATTTTTTGAGTGTCACCTCAAAATGTGTTCAATAAATATGATATAAAATCAGCTGGCTTTTACCACAAAACGACAAGTCGTATTCATAACGGAATGGGAGATTACGGCGAAGCTGTCTTTATTCATACTCCTACTTCATAGCCCCGTCTATCATGCCACTAGGGCTCCGTGTACCACCGTTCTGTCTCACTTGAATTTAAGACTCGCTGCATTTAAAAAAGACAAATTAAAATTTTATCACAAATTTATTAATAATTACAAAATCCGGATTAACAATTAAAACCAGTAAGCTTTTACCGTAAAAACGTACTTGTGATGTTCGCATAAGCCAGTACAGTACGGGAGGGAAAAATATCATATTAATTTTTTTTTGAAAGAATATATGTATATTATTAAAAGTTTAACTTTATCTGAGAAAAATCCATTATAAAATACTTCGAAATTAGTCCTTACTTTCTCGGAATCTAAAACCAGGAAGCTATTCCAACCTGTTTTCCAAGCCCGTGTTACGAAGCTCAACCTTCAAAGATGTGAACAATAATTCTACCAAAAAGAAACAAAAAACAAAAAATAAAAATAAAAATAAAAATAAAAATTTTTCCAAAAAAAAAAAAAAGCTTGCCATTTTATAACTGGACTTTGCCTTTACAATGAAGCTAATGTGATACGCAATTTGGTTCACTATAAAAGTAAAAGATTTCTTGCTTGCGTATGAATGGATAATCATGCTAATTTCTATCCCTATTTAAATCACGAACCCGGCTTCATCTAATTTCATCTAAAATTTTTAAATTTTAATTTTAAGTTCAATTAAATGAAGTTACCAAAAAAACTATGACTTAATCATTAATGAATTGGATTAAGTGTTTGAGTTAAAAAAAACTCATGATTGATAAAATAATGCCATTAAAAGTTACCTTTGATATTTTTATTAGGTAAATGAGCAAACTATCATTTAAATTTTAAGTTTAATAACACTTTAGGTCACAAATTTATTTATCATGTAAATTGTTCTTTTAGTTTTTGAAAATGATTCAATTTTACTTTTGCTATGAATAAAAATTAACTTTAATTATTATTTAATTAAAAAATGATATAAAATAATCTCAACATGAACTGTGTAATAACCAACGGTTAAAGTTTATTTTTGTTGACAGTATAGATTAGATTGTATTATTTTTAAAAGTTGAAAAAATAATTTACATAATAAATAAATTCATAATTTATGGTGTTACTGAATTTAAAATTTAAAAAATAATTTTTTCATTTACTTATTTTTATTTAAGATAATTGCATATCCTAAAATTCAAATTTGATATCTTAAGATAAGCTAATTTACCTCATTTGATCAATTAAATCTAAATCCCCTTGGTATTAAAAAAATTTGATAGTTCATGTATATAGAGATTAGTTACGGATAAATTTATCTACCTTCCATTAAAGATAAGATGCCACCTATATTTGTAGTAACATCACACATACACATTACCAACTAACAATAGTAGGTAGAAAATTTAACCTGAAATTTGCATAATTATGATCCTCCAAGTTTCAAGAGACAGTGGGTACTTGCCTGACAAAACTTATCCTTGTTTCGTGAGTCTTCTTGATTACTTTACATAGTGCTTCCTCATTTATGGCTTTTTTTTTTTTTAAAAAAAAGGTTGAATGTTATAAAATGTAATATATTTTAAGTTTTTTAATGTATAATTATTATTTTTTAAAAAAAGTTACTATAAAACACCTTAGTAAATAAAAAAATGATAAAACAAGGTTAAAAGATAAGTAATCACGATTAAATTTAATTAAAAATATCTTATATTTTTTAAGAAAGAAAGTATATAAATCAAGTAGTATGATATAAGAAATAAGAAAAATTACAAAAAAATACGGTTGTAGAGAATCAAATTTTTTTTACCCCGTGAACTTAATCTGCGTGGGAAAAATAATAAAAGATACATACAAATAATTTATATTTTTTAATCACATTTTACAATTCGATAAGCTTTGAGTGAGCCAAGTGAAAATACTGTGTGAATTACTAACGGGTTGGATTTAATAAAAAAAGGTAGATGCTTAATGCTCAGTCTTGTCTTAACTATAATTATTTTTAATAGGATACATTTGTGTACAATAAAAAATATTGAGTAAATTAATAATGATTTTCTAGAATATTTAAAAAATACAATTATTTAGAATTTTTTTATAATTGTACCAAGGTGACATAGATTTCAAGAACACAGTTTTTTTATGAAATGAAAAAATTGCATTTTTAATTATTTCAATTACTTTTAAAATATAAAAAAATTGCTTAAAAATAATCAAAGCATGGGCACTTTCAATTTTTATCACCGATATAATTTTTTGGGTGTTGAAAAAGGTGGTGTAATAAAAAAATAATAAAATAATCCGAGTTAGAAAACGAGGGATTAACTTCAAACCACCACACAGCTCCTCCTCTTTTGATTACGCGTAGACAATTCATCTGACTTCGCGTTCCCGCCGCCCCACTCTCTCTAGTCGCAGTCACTTTCTCTCTCTACAACTCCCCCAGACCAAACCACCATTTTGCATTTACTTATTTTATTGATTATTGATTTATTGATGATTTTATTGGTTATTGATATATAATCATCTCTCTTCTTCGTTCCTGAACATTCAACAAGACCATCACACGCTTCTGTCTTTTCTTTCTCTCTTCTTCAACAATGGCCAAATGGAGCCACAAGGCTCGCAAGCACTCTTACATCTCTGTCCCTTCTCAGATCATCAGCTCCTTATCGTCTTCTTCTCTACAATCTCTGCTTGAATCACCCAAGAAATCTTCCAGAAACTTCAAGTTCTTCTTGTCCTTCAGAAGCTCACGACTCTGGTTTCTCACTCTCTTCTTCGTTGGTTTCCTTGGGATGCTCAAGTTTGGATTCGACTTTGATGTGCCGTTTTCTCCCTACCCTTGTGCTACACCTCAGCTGAATCTCCCGGCAATCTCAAACGGTCACTTTGAATCTCCCCATCATCAAAATCTTAAGAAAGACGAGGTTTTGGATGATACGAGGTTGTCGCTGTCCAATGTAGAGGTGAAAGAGGAGGTTGATGATGGGGAAGTTGAGAAGAGCGAGTTCTGGAAGCAACCAGACGGATTGGGTTACAGGCCTTGCTTGGGCTTCAGTAGGGATTACAGGAAACAAACCGAAGGGATTGTGAAGAACAGGAGGAAGTACCTCATGGTTGTGGTCTCTGGTGGGATGAATCAACAGAGGAATCAAATTGTCGATGCTGTTGTCATTGCTAGGATCCTCGGAGCTGCCTTGGTTGTCCCAATTTTGCAAGTCAACGTCATTTGGGGCGACGAAAGGTAAAAATAATCGTTTCTGCAACTACTCAGAAGACAAAGTTTTGAACTTCCTATTACACTTTTCCTTGTTTCAATCGAATTGCTGTTAGGGTCATTTCTTCGTTATCGTTAATGATAAAGTTTTGAACTTATGTTGTTACTACTTCGATGTTTGCAGTGAATTCGCTGATATATTTGATTTGGAGCACTTCAAGAGAGTCCTTGCAAATGATGTTCGAGTGGTTTCTGCATTGCCTTCGACACACTTAACGACCAGACCAGTGGAAGGAAGCCCTCCACTTCATGTCACTCCAAGCTGGATACGCTCTCGGTATCTCAGAAGAGTAAGAATTTAATATTTTTTTCTTCTTGTCTTTTTTATGTTCTGTTTTTGAGCACGCGTTAAGTTATGCTCATGGCTTTTACTCTTTAGTTGCTTTAGCTTCTCTTAAAGTGTTGCCATAATAATGCTTTACTGTTTGCAAAATAACATAGCCTTGTTGATCATATGACACCACTATTCACATTATTGGAGTTTCCTTGTATGAAGAGGAACTAAAACTTGCTTTATCTTGTCTGGGAAAAAAAGTAGGTAGTTGGTAAGTTAATTTTGTTGAAGAAGAATTCATATGATTCTGTTGTCCTTTGCAGCTTACCAGAGAAGGTGTTTTGCTCTTACGTGGCTTGGATTCAAGGCTGTCGAAGGATCTTCCTCCTGATCTTCAGAAGCTTCGATGCAAGGTATTGTGTTAGTGAAGAGAAAAAAGAGAGAGAAACTTCATTTCCAAGAAAATTGTTGGTAGATTCATAGACTCTAATAATAATATAATACCTTAAATTTTTTTTCCAGGTTGCTTTTCATGCCTTAAGGTTTGCGAGGCCAGTTCAAGAACTTGGTGACAAGATTGCCGAGAGGATGAGAAGCAAGGGACCATACCTTGCCCTTCATCTTCGAATGGAGAAGGATGTATGGGTGAGGACCGGGTGCTCTCCGGGTCTAAGTCCCAAGTTTGATGAGACAGTACACAGTGAGAGGATAAACCGGCCAGAGCTATTGACTGCAAAATCAAACATGACTTCCCAAGAAAGGAAGCTTGCTGGTCTATGCCCCTTGAATGCTGTAGAAGTAGTCAGGTAAACATAAACTAAGCCTATGTTAAGTGTAAAATTGATTTACTTATAGGATGCTTGATGCTGAATTAAGCGAAATGATCTTCTGATTAATGCATGTTTTGGTTTTGTTGTAAGGCTGCTTAAAGGTCTAGGAGCTCCTAAGAATGCAAGAATCTATTGGGCTGGAGGGCAACCATTGGGCGGAAAAGAAGCTTTGCTTCCGTTAATCCAAGAGTTTCCACATTTTTACAGCAAGCATGATCTTGCTGTGCCGGGTGAACTAGAACCGTTTTCCCAAAAAGCGTCTCTGATGGCTGCCATAGATTATGTAGTTTCCGAGAAGAGCGATGTTTTCATGCCATCTCATGGAGGAAACATGGGCCATATGCTTCAGGTATACTTGCTAGTTACTCCCTTGTTAGTTGAGAAACTCATGTCATAACATAAAATGCTCTATACAAATCAGTTTCCTTTGTGATGTTGGATATAATCAGAATGTTTATCAGAGTCTCCGAGCAATTTTAGCAGCATTAACACTATCTTTAACATAAACTTTTATGGCTTTAAGTACATGATCTTGAGCCTTTAAGTACAAATTCCTAAGGCTTTGTTTTGGTTAGGCACCATGCAAAGTATATTTTATTTTGGTAATCCTTGTTTAGCAAATTGTATCAGTTTTATGTGTTTTGTGATACAAGTGTTATGATTCATTTTATTTCTTTGCATTCTATGTACCATCTTGTTCCTAATTTCGTTAATGTTACTGTTATTGCAGGGTCACCGGGCGTATGCTGGGCACAAGAAATTTATCACACCAAACAAACGACAGATGCTTCCCCATTTTCTGAACTCTTCCCTTCCTGAAGCAGAGTTCAACAGAATCATCAAAGAACTTCATCATGAGTCCTTAGGGCAGCCGGAGCTCCGGAAGCCCGGGAGGGATGTCACCAAGTATCCGGTCCCTGAGTGCATGTGCCAAGACTCACGAGCTGGATCTCACCTGTAATTTAACACCAAACTTACTGGTATGCCAAAAAAAAAAAAAAAAAAAGCCCTGACAAGAAGGAAAATGAAGGCCTGTTTCTGCAGTTCCTACTACAATTTTGATCTGCCAGATGTCGATCGACTAATCAACCGGGCTTTGGGTGTTCTGCCACAGTTTGTTGTGAAGCATGCCACTCTCTTCAGGTGTACAAATATGAATTATTGCTAAATATACTTTGATGCAAAGGGGATCCCACAAGTCAATTGATAGAATACACAATAATGCACAGCAGAAAAGATCATTCTTTAATTCTTTTATACGCATAAGGGATTGTATAGGATTGCTTTGTGTAATTCTTTGCACCATACTGCAGATGTATGCATATATTTGTATAAATTAAAGCTGAGATTTATCATGAACTGAATTATTCCCATTTGATAGAATGATTACAATCAGTTGAATTTAAGCAGAAATTGCTCAGATTTGGTGGATCCTAGTGATGTAAGAAGGTAGATATCAACTATCTTCATTTCTGAACTTCCATTCACCACCTTGTTCTCCCTGTCTGTTACATTCACAAAATGATTTGGTGGATTACAGTTGGCAAAACATGGGTTTGACAACACGACAGACAAGCAAGGTCATTATTGTTTTGGTTCAAACAAGGATTTAGGAATAGATTCGTTTTGTCTTAAATATGAGTTTTGGGAAGTGGGTCTTAGGGTAAACTAAACACATCCTTAATCTCTAAAAGCATGTCTTATTAATGGTGAAGAATCTATCATCTCATAATAATTGTATGGGAAGAATGCAACTAAGGACCTCATTAGAAAATTAATATCAAATCAGGATTTCATCATAACCTAACTTCCAAGTTCAATACTCATCTTATCAAATCAGGATCTCATTATAATCCTGGTTTCCTCATTGGTTTGGTATTCTCAACTTCCAAAAGTTTATGATCTTGCATGCTAATATTTTTGAGAATTATTTCATTGTCATTGTTTTAAAAATTGGATAGTTGGATCGTCAACCAGAACTATTAATTGCTTGATTTGGACCAAAAAACTATTTTTATGATTGAATCGAATTTAATTGAAGTTGAGTAGTTATTAAGTCAGAAACTGAAGTTGAACTAGGAACTAGAACGATTTTCAGAAAACCAGACGGATTTAAACATAATACTAAAAAGATCTTACAAATATAAAAAAAATTCAAAATTCAAAAAGTAGATTCTTGTTAAAAGCCAACTTTGTTTTTTGACAATTTACATGCGTAAAATATGGTTTGAGACAATTTTTTTTATAAAGATATTTATTATTATAAGTGCAAATGAAAATATTTTTAAGCCTACTCATGTTTAATTAACTTAAATTTACCTATATTTGACAAGTTATAAAATTATTATTTATAATATTATTAATTTACAGTCTATGTTATGTCATTTTATTAGTAACTAGGCATAATGTAGATTTGTTTCTTATATTTATTTTATATATGCATTTAATATTATTTTTATTTAATTATTTATTACCTGTTTGACTGTTAGATCATAAATTTTTTTTTGACCAACTAAATCATAAAAATTGAAAACATTTAACTTTTTTGATTTAATATCCTATATTGTTTATGTGAAAGAGCTTTTGGACATGATGACAAAAAAAACCAGGGGCAAGATATGCCAATGTTTTTTGGCTTGTCTTGTCAAATGTGTGCCCCCCCAGCTCAACCATGTTTGTTTTTGAGCAAATGGTTCTGCTTCATATGCTTTATATTTACAACACAGCTTATGCCTGCTGGTCTGGTCTGGTCTGGTCTGCAAGAACAACAACAACAACAACATCAACCAGAAGCAGAAAATGACAGTAAAAAATTTGAATCTGATGAACTGAGACAGTGAGCTGGTATGGTAACTTAAGCCAAGTGAATGATTCTTTGACCAATGATCACTTGGTTTTTGTGGTCCCCAGAACCTCGTGAGCTTATGCCTGTCCTCCTCTGGAGGGTAAGCATCTCCGTACTATGAAGCTTGTGATAGCTTTGATGTTGGGCCCTCCTGGCCCAGGAAATTTATTTACTGAATTGAATTCTTTATGGACTTTTGATGATGATCAACCAATACTACCATTTCCCAGATGTGACGTTCTTTATGGGTGAAAAGCCATGTCTAAGGAGATATTTCAGGGTGATTGATTGCTTGATACAAACTGCAAACATGTGTTGTCTGAAATCTGAGATTAGTAGTAACTTTATATTTAATAATAAAAATATGATTTAAAGATAAGTGTAGTTCTGATAGTCATTAAAAGTTAACAACCAACACGTATTGGCCCTTGTGGAAGGGGCAATTTAATTCCATAAACATGAGGTGTCAGGTTCAGATCTGTGTGTCAACCTAAAAAACCATCTCAAGAGAGTTATCTTGGTTGGGTTTCACAATGCTCGATTTTGATTCAATGTAAAACACCACATTACAACTCCTATTTTTAGTAATGTCTACTTGAGAAGACAAGTGAGAACAAGTATATGATTGTCAACTGATTAGATTAACTAAAAATTTGAGAATAACTATCAACAGCTGTTAAACTGAGGAGAATGAAGTGCCACTTGATATTTTATTCGACAAGGTTGAGGATTCAATTGGTCAAGGCCGAAAGATATACATTAAGAGACCACGCCTATTTGAACCCAATCGACAATGCTTGATTCAGGAATTGTAGATACCAAATAGTTAATATTAAGAAAAACAAGAATCAAGAATACAGGCTTATTCAACCTACTCGTATAATCTGCTTTTCTTCTTCTTTTTTTAAAGGACAAGCGAGTTAAAAATTGAGGCACTTTTATGCAAAAAGGAGCTCGTTTTAAGTCATAAGAAAACTAGTTTGGATTACTTGTTTAAACTTCTATAAAGTTTTACCACTGAAAATTAAGATGTTTTTAGAATAATTTAATTTTTAAATTAAATTTAAATTTTATACTTTAAAATTAGAATTTATATTACTTTTTTCATTTTTAAACATTATAATTTTCGTTTTTTAAAAAATAATGTGTAATATTATAATGTAAAAATTAAATTTTTAAAAATAAAAAATGTGTTAGAAATAAAAATAAATAAAAAACTGCTCCAAAATTAAATAACTAATAAGGGCTGAATTTGAAGGAAGTGGCCGATTTTAAAGTAACAGAACATTTAGCCTTGAACCCGTATGGGTCAATGGATCATGCACGAAAACCGATTTCATATAGGTTAAACCCGCTTGTTTACTGGTCAAAGAAAAGCACTTGGGGATGACTGCATGAGGTTAGCACATAGTTAATATTATCTTAGGATGAAGTGTTCGATAATGAGTGGATTATGAGATTAGTTTCAAGCAAAAATGATTAACACAAAGAAGAGAATCCAAAATTATGTGAAAGAGTGTTTTTCAAGGGTAAAGCATGTGAGTGGGATTTGCTAAAATTGTGTAGATAAATGTGCCGAATTTATATTGCTATAGTGTATTTAGTGATACGCACGTTTCGCCCTATTAACTAACTATTACGTGCAACTACCCAATTCCATTATTGCTGGTCCCATGTGGTACACAGTAACAACATTGTTCATTCTGGTCTGTATTCATTGATTATGTGACTTAGGCCCAATTGAAGATATCTTTTTCAAATGTGTTTTTCAGCATTTATACAATTTTAAACTTGAAATTTGGTGTTTCAGTGGGATATAACCTCTCCATTGAGTGTATGTTTGGATAACAAACCTTTTACATTTACAAAATACTTTTGGAGATTTTTTTTTTCCTTTTGAGTGAGAGGCCACAGATAAACTATGCTATTTGACATGAATAATCATGTCATTGTACAAAAAATTCCTACAATCAAGAGGCAGAAAATTCAAAATAAGTACATTAAAATTATCAATAAAGACTTGATAAGTCAATCAATTTGTGCATATATTTACTTCTTTGAAAACATGATCAAAGATAACAATTTAGTCTTATGAAATGAGATCTCTAATATCATTACTTTTGGAGATTTTCAAATGTCAAAGTTGTTTGATTTTTTAAAAAAACTTCAAAGCATATTAAAAAAGTCTATTAAAAAAGCTATGAAATATATTTTTGAAGAACTTAACTTTCACTTACTCCCCAATTTCCAGTTTTCAATTTGAAGGTGAGCCAAAATTGCCAATTTAATTTCTTACCATAAACTTATATATTTTGAACAATCCAATTATTTTTATTTAATTTTTATAAAATATTTTTTATGACATTTCCTACATTATTTTTTTATGTTTTTAGTGAAAGAATATTAATTTTTATTTTTATTTTGAGTGAAACCATTTATTTTTAAAATGTATTTGTCTAAAATATGATCATGATTTTGCGATCCCTTATATTTGGTACACTTCCTTTCTCTTAAATGACGATGCTTAGTTTAGTATGTTATTTATAAAATATATGTAAACCAATTTTTTTAAATATATCAATATTTGAATAACAAAAATTACTTATGATAAGATTCATATCTTTTTTAGTAATTACACATATAAAAATACTTTTTATTATACATTATTCAAATAACTTTCAGTTTATCAAATTGACTTTTAAAAAAAATATATTTAAATATAAATTTTGTTATAATAATTAACATTACTAGTTTAACTTTTGCCAAATTAATTTTTAATAAATGAACTTTTGGCAAATGAAAAACCAAATGGGCACCAACATTGAATCATTTTATTTGAATTATATTATTACCCAAATAAAAACAAAAATCAATAGGCAATTCCCCAATTGAACTGCTCCATGGTGTTCATTTATGTTGGGTTTCTTGGAAGGCAAAACATTAAAATTAAGTGTGTATCCCATCACATGACTCTACCACATGAATCTACAATAACAATAATAATAATAATAATAATAATAATAATTACGGATGGCATTTTTCTTAGAGAAATTCTTACATTCACACACAGCTTACTTTTACATTTTCTAACAAAATATAGATTCAAATCATATAATTTGATTCCCACATGGCATTCACCAATGAGATCTAGATTCTATAGGTGTCTCAAATTCTTTTCAAGAGTGTCTATACTATAATCATTAAATTTATTCAATATTTGAATGCAAGCTTAACCATAAATAAGTTAAATGTTGGGATATTAATTGTGAGTTAGTTTGACGTGGTATGGGAAAAAACTCTCATATTGAATAGAGTTGAGTTAGAGAAAATATATATAAGTGAAAAAGACATATAAACTCATCACTTTAAAATTTTGGTTAAAATGTTATGTCATCTCACTTATATGCATTTTTTAGAACTATTGGGTAGCTTAGTTATGTTCTTCCCTCTTTCAAGATGCTTCTTGAGACTAACAAGTTGCATCAAAGCTCTTTTTGGATCAAAGCTCTTTTTGGGAAGGAAGGACTAAGTACGATGACTGTGGAAAAAGCTTTAGAAACCTACAGTTGTTATTGGGTTGAGCTATTTATAGCAGGTTGAAATCTTTAAAATGTAGGTAAATAGGGGAAATATAACTATGAGTTGGCTTGACGTGATATGAAAAAAAAATAATTAACTTAAAGAAGAGGTATATAAATAAAAAAAAGCCTATAATCTCAAATGTCTTATAATTTTAAATTAAAATGTGGTGTTATACTCGCTATATAATTTCTCTTGGAACCATTAGGTAAACCAATTATATTATCTCCTAGGTGTTCTCATCCACGAGTTATGTGGTCCACAATACTCAATATTTGGCATGCGTGGCATAATCTTATAATAAAGACATAATAAGTATGACAGACAAAATTTTACTATTATTTTTGGCTGACTTGATACACACACATTACATTACATTACACTTATTTAAAAATTGAACTATTTACAAGCCCATAGCAGTGGAACTTGTTTGGTGTAATTTATGAAAAAAAGCTGTGTTTAATTTATTTAAAGGGATAACATATTTTTAATTTATTAATTTTCCCTTGTATGATCAACTCTATCTTTGAAAATTAATTCAATATAACTTAATTCTTGTAGTTCATTAATTAAAATAATTATAGAAACTGAGTTATGCCGAATAAAAAAATTATCAAGATTAACATTAAGTTATTCTAAGTCAAGAAACTATAGAAATTAAATTGTTTTAAGTTAAAATTTAGTAGCTGAATTAAAAATTATATTTTTATTATTTAAATATAAGTTGGTTTTAATCTTTTTAGCCACCTTGCTAGCTCAGCAAAATATTTGTATTTACCCATGATGTGAGGATTTTATTGGGAGCAATATATAAATATGTTTGTAAATGCTTTTTAAATTTGGATACATATCCTAGTATTGGAAAGTTTTTGAATCTAACTCACTAAGTTTTTTTGGAATAATGATAATAAAAATATTTGTATCTACCCCACCTTTGTTTTTACTCCATGTTGGTACATGTTATTGTTAATTTCTTTTCTTTTTGATATAGACATGTTTGTTTTTTTGGATAGAAAAAAGACTTGTTTGTTAATTTCTAATTGGAGTTGTTAAGTAATGGGCTTGGCCCTGAAGCCCGCGATTTCCATTAAAACCGTGAAGTTCGGTAACCACTGCCATCAGCAATCCGGCCCAAAATGAAATTCCCAAATTGCAAACTAGGGTTAGGGTTTAACACTAGCCATGGCCAATTGATTCTCATTTCCCTCACACAGACACAGGTCTCCTTCGTTTCCTGCATAGTAGAAACATAAAAAACACTGTGCTCCAACCTGAGAATTTAAGCTTCCAATCATGTCAACACCGGCGACGACGGGGACTGCGGCGGCGAAGAGAAAGCCAGTGTTTATCAAGGTGGACCAGTTAAAGCCGGGTACCGGTGGCCACACGCTGACCGTGAAGGTCGTCAGCTCTAAGGAGGTGAAGTCGATCATTAATCGCGGTGGTCGATCGTCAATGCTTCTGGCTCGTCCTTCCCGTCCAACCCGCATCGCCGAGTGTCTCGTGGGTGATGAAACCGGGACCATTATTTTCACGGCTCGTAATGAACAGGGTATGATAAGAATATTTTTAAATTCACACGAACCTTTCTGATTTGGTTATTCTACGTAAAGTGACTGCTCTGTTAACGTTATTTTGGTGTGCGGATTAGTATTTCAAATTTCGGATACTTCTTACTTGTATTATTTGAAGTCTTTGTGGTTTTTCATCCGCTTGTGTGTGTTTCAGTACTAGGACTTTGGATACAAATGAACAGGTACAGAGACGTACAAACTTCCCCCATGAAATGGAAATTACCATAGCCTCTTGTCCTGTTTTATTTATTTTTAGAAAATACGTTTCACTTATTTTTTTAGTTTTATGGGCAATTTTCTCATTTGGTTTTGTTAAAAAAGGTGTTAAATCGTCATGGAACGGAAATTACCGTTGCTTGTTGGCTTTCGCCTGTTAGTGCTTGTTCAATCAATTGCTTGTCCCTTGGTAAAGAACAAAATCCTCGAAGTACATCCTCTGCAAAAGGTGGCCGCCTTCTCTCAGGCCACCAGTCACTGTTTGGGCCCCACCCCCACCCTCATGGAGCGTTGGGTTTTAGCCCCGTATGGCTGAGAAATGGGAAATGTAAAACTGTAAATAAGTGACACATTCCACCACTTAGGTATCTTCTGTGTTGGGTAGTTTTCTGATTTGGTTTTGGTTAAAAAAAAAAAAACCCAAATTGAGGGAATGTGAATGATTTACCGGTAAATGGAGTAGGATAACTTTTTGTTTCAGGGAATGTATGTGCGATTAACTATATATAAGCAGTATGGCTGTGATCAAGATGGTGGTGTATTTAGCGGGGCCTATCTGTAAATCATTCACGGCAGTATTAATGGCGCATTTTGTTGCCATTCCTAATCGGTATGAGAGGAGTTTGAAATATTGAGAATATCTTTGCCTCATTAAAGCTGCCCAAGGTGAAGTTTCACAAAATAAACTAAAAAGGGGAAAAACAGCACGATGTGAGCAATTTGAGTCATTGGGGTCCAAAGGTACATGTGTGGCATATCAGTAAGGTTATTTTTAAATTATTAATGTTAATTGTATGCAACTGTAAACTTTTGGATTTCAATTGTACTGGTATTGTTGTATATAATATCCTTGATATTCTCACTATAATTATTGGATTTGTAATAGACTATTATGGTGATTTTATTTAAAGATCATTGATTAGCCCATGATTATGTTACCAAAACAATTACTAATTTCTGTATAATAACTTAAAGACTAAAGATAAGATAATCTGTTGAATGCGGATGTCTCAAGTGGTGGCCCAAACGACAAAAACAACAAGCCTTATCTCAATAGGTGGGGTTCGTTATATGGATTATATGATGCCATTGTACTTAATGGTCGAGCCCAAATAAAATAAATTAGTTTCTACTGTTTTTATTTAATTTCTGATTTTATTTCTTATTTATCAGTATATTTCTGTCTTTATTAGGTTAATCAGAATCTGATTTTAGATTACAATACCTTTGTATGTTTAGATAGATTCTCTTGAGCGGCAGAAACCCTAGCTGTCTCTCTCTCCTATATGTATTGCACACTTAACAATGAAATTTTTTGACGCTGAGTCTTAATTGCTCAGCTAATTTCATAACCAAGATAAGATTTGCTTTATATTTTCTATTGTTTAAAAATATAAAATTGCTTTCATCATGTATCAAAGTGAACATTTTTATGGTTTTATGTTCTTTGTTTTAAAAGTCTTGTGTAATCTGCTTATGCTTGTAATTTCATTTCTTAACTATGAGATATACATTTTTTCACATTTAGCTTAACAAATATACTTTGTCTTAGGGATATGTGCATTGAGTTTGTCAGAGGCAAACATGCTCATTGTTACAACTGCCAGTGCTGAGGCAGAAAGGGTCATTTTTCAACGATGAGTCAAAATTGTAGATTTCTTTGCTCCTTTGTATGCTTTTTGAGTGTTCTAATTTGAAAAGAATGGTGATAGATAACAAAGGTGAAGCAGTTTTCTTTTTCTTTTTTTTTTTAAATGATTGGTTTGTGGTAGGTAGACTGGACTGCTCAAGCCAGCTAAAATAAAATATTTCTGCCATTTAAATTGCTGTGTCATGAGATTCATCCTCATAGGACTGAATTAAACTGATTTAGGTTGTTCAGCTGTTGATTCCAGTGATTTTTAGCAATCCTTTGATGCATATTGCTGAGGGTTTGTATTGTTTGTGATATGTGAGGTGGATTTGGACTTTAATCACTTGTTAAGCAAGTGTGCTTTTGTTGAGAAAGATGCTGCAGATACGGTTACAAGTTCCTAAAGGGTATTGTTGACGACTGAGCTTAGGCACAATCTTTTGGTTGTTATCAGTTTATTCAGTGAGAAAATTGTGTTTGAGAATCTTATAGCAAGTACTGAAGAAACTATATCCCAAGTTTTGCCCTTTCAAGAAAATGTGTTTTTTGACTTATCTTCTCTGTCAAGTTGGCAATGGGAACTGGCTTATCTTAGACCGTTACGTTTCAGTTGTCCTTTTTGACCCACTTAAAATTTGTGCTGTTATTTAATCTTTATTGAAATAGATGTAGTATGTGCGTTGCTAGCCTCTTCTATAGAGATACTTGCTTGTTTATTTTGTCAATAACTTATCCTCCTCAGACATAAATGTTCTAAATGCATTGTTTTATTGTAAGTATTCCTTCAAGAGGATGTCACATTGGTGCTTGTATGTTGACATGATTTTTGTTCTCCTGTACAGTGGACCTAATGAACCCAGGTGCAACTTTAATTCTACGTAATGCAAAGATTGACATGTTTAAGGGATCTATGAGGCTAGCAGTGGATAAATGGGGGCGAATTGAGCCTACAGAACCTGCCAATTTTGACGTTAAAGAGGATAACAATCTTTCTTTAGTTGAATATGAATTGGTTAATGTTGTTGAAGAGTGAGTCTGTCTTCTGGTACTGAATGTTTTGAAGTTACCGGAGGTTTTAGCATTTTCTACTTGCGCATTGAGACTGGCTGCAGATATTGCAGTTTTCATTTGGTACAGTCTTGTCTGATTCTTAGTTTTTGCAATTGCTGTGGCCTATGCAAGTCATAATATTTAAGATTGCAAATAGATTAGCTTCAGAAGGTGATGGTCCTTGTGATTAACTTGCAGAAGTACATATTTATCTCTTAATACATCATTTGGGGGAATTGTAATTCCTAGTTGTGCCTCAAACCCTTGACCAAATATTACTATTCCTGTCCGGTTTTAATTGGAGGGTGGCATATGATATAAGCACTTTACGACATGTTGAACAGAGATTATCAAACAATGCCTCTTGGTATCATAAACGGAACATGTAATTTGTACTGATGATGATAGATAAATGCCTTGAAATTTGTAAATGTTGTGAAAGTTTGATTAGATGTTGAGTATATAGTCTGAGATGCAGCTAATAACATGTACATGTTGACGTCCTCTTATGTTGAATGTGCACGAATTTGATGTCTCTTGGTTTCTGATGGACTTGATTCCATATTAGCTGAAAGGCACAAGGATTTAAGCAATATCATGATAAATTAGAAACCACATTGAAGAAGTGGGATATGACCTCAAAAGTTCTTCAACCCAAGAATTAGGTTTCCCCCAACTGCCTTCCCCCTTTTTACCAGGTCAAAATGAAAAAAAAAAGAAGAAATTCTGTTTTTTTTTCCCTTTCTCTTCTGAGGAGGACAGAATAATTTAGAACTTTCAGTCACAATGCCTGATAATAGTTATTTCTTTGTGTTATAAATTGTGAAGGTTTATTGGTTTGCAAGTTCTCGTGGGGAACATGCGTGGACATGGATATTTGGCAATTAACTAATGGGCGAGTTCATAGTTTTAAATTTCGAAATTTGACATCATCGAAAATAGGGAGAATTATGTTGGTTGATCTATTTCAAAATTGTGTAGAAGGACCTCAAATTTTCCAAATCATTCTAAGGGACTTTGGTAATTTTCAGTAAAAAGTTAAAAAAATGTTTGGATCAAAATGCTTTTTAATCATTTTTTTAGATAATATAACTTGTCTCTAAATCTTTTAATTATTGACTTAATTCTTGAATTTTGAGTAGGTACATCTCTATTTGAGTTAAGGAATTATACAAACTTAAAAATATTATAAGTATTGAGTTGTTTCAGGTTAAAAAATTATATAAACTGATTTTTTTTATTTTAAAATTCAGGAATTTAATTGATAATTTTAAAAATTCAATGACTAAAAGTTATATTTCTATTTTAATTGAAGATATTTTATTCCATATATATTTATATATTGATTGAAATTAGGTATAATCTTGTTTGAACCTCTCCCAATAGAAACTTGAACCTTTGTTCTCCATGTTGAGAGAGACTAACTTTTTTTTGCTAAATCCAACTATTGTTAGTCCAAATATATATGTATATCTATTACTGAAAATGATCTAGGTCCCTCAAATTGGTTTCAAAATTTTGAGGTCCTTTTGCATAATTAATTTTTAAAATTGGTCTTTTAACATAATTCTCCCTCATAAAAATACATATCAAAAGTAGAGTCAGGAATAAAGACTGAGTTTGAAAGTCCTATTTAAATAAAAGTTCAGGCTTAAAAAATGAAAAACTTTTAAGATAATTAGACTTCTAGGCTTGGCTCTGATAGACCCTAAAAAAAAGGGCTCTAACCCGGGTGACTCTTCAAACCCTATTTTTTTTTTCTCTTTTAACTTAGAACACATCATTTAGCAAATGGGAAAAAAATATTAAATATGACCATTTCAAGTTCCTAAGCTCTTTTCGTCTTTTAACTCAACCTTTCTTTCTCACTCTCTTCTTTCTCCAAGTTGCCTCACCTCTCTGCTAACCCTCTAGCTCTCTCTATCTTTCGGCTCACTTCTCCCTCTCATCTCTTGACTCAACGTCTATCTCTTGGCATTCTATTGCTTCAATTTTTTTTTCTCTCTCTTACTCTCAAGTAATTCCTCTTCAGGCATAGACATTTTTTTTATCTCATGGATGTCTAAATTTTAATTTGATGCTTGCTTTTAAAATTTTAATTTGATTTAAAAATTCTAATTCTCATCTTATTATGTGAATATTATATTGATATGGCATATATATTTTGTTTATAAAACTTTGTTGTGAACTCTAATGCTATCAACTAACATGTATTTAGACTTTTAAATCTTTTATTTATTTTCTAGATAATGCGACGTATTTAGTTTTTGTTAAATTTTAGAGTTAAATTATAATGTTAAATATTATGATGTTAAATTAAATTATTTTTAAAAAAACAATATTAAATTTAATATTAATTTTTTTTTGAAACAAGGCTTTTGAGCCGGCCCTCAAGATTTGATGAAAATTTGAAAAATGAACTTCAGAGCTTAGGCTCAAAAGGGCTGCGCTTGTCTATTTTTTTATCTCTAACCAAAAGTGCCAGTATGGTTGCTATAATGAAGGTATCTCATAACCGAAATAAATATATGAACTTGATTTTTTTTTAAAAAAAGGATAAGAAATCTTACCTTTTGCAAAATTTAATCTTTGGTTACTGTCAACTCTACAGTAAAAACAATAATAACAATGAGGTGGTATAATTTTATTGGTTGTTGTCTCTTTTTTAATTATCTAATTATTTATTATCAATCTTTTTGTTTATTTATTTATTAGATCTCTAACGAGCCATCTATTCAAATCCTCTCACACATCTGTTCCATTTTTTGTTTCACTGGGATCTCCCGCACGAAAGATTATTTTCACCCTCCCTATTTATCTCCCATTTTCTTCTTTTCTCTGGAAGCTTCAGTTTTGCATATATGCAAATGAAGCGATCGACTAACTTGTAGTAAGGATTTTGATCGAACGTCTTGAAGGTAACTTTAATTTACTGAAGTTCTGAACTCTGTTTCAATGATAAACTTGTTTATATATGGTCATCATTTATTGCCGCCGGAAGTTAATTTTTTTGGTTTAATATTTTTTTTTGGGGAAACTTGATTCACACAGCAGCAAATTGTTAGATATATCTCAATTCATGTATCATATAAAATTGAAGAGAGTAATGTGTGTGTACTTGAAGAATTCATGATCATTTGTTAGAGATATCTCGATTACCTCGAGTATAGACAGACGCACAACCTACTGGACCCCCGTAATCTTCAGAGAGTTCAGAGATAATGAAGATGAATGAAAACTATCGTGTGTTAAGTGGTTATCGACTGATCGGTTTATATGGACTAGATCAGTAACCGCTTTATTAAATAATTAATTAATTATATTTTATTATCTCTGACTCAGTCAGTTAAGAGATAGGGAGTAACTGATGGTTACTGAGTTGTAGGTTGGGCCTCTGCCCATTAACCTCACTTATGTGGTCCACATATCACAGTCTACACAAGATTATAAAGACTAATATGTTTGAACTTATTAATTAATGTAAATCTATATATATATATATATATATATAATCCAACACAAATTAGATGCAAAAGAGCATACACCATTTTTTTAACAATGGCATAAATCTTAAAACAAATTGAAATAGAGTAAAATTCTTATCTGCAATCCCTTTCAGGTTCACTTTGAAACACAATAATCTTTTTATTATGGTATGACATTGCTAAGTGTTTTCTTACATTGAATTCAAGATTATGGCGAATGAATCAATTGTTAAGTCTTCATGGTTTAACTTATAGAGTTGTTGCAATGCCTTCCATCTTTTTTTTTTTTTTTACTTCAAGTTAATTGGCCAACTCATGTTTAGATTGTACTGCTTATAACTTGGGAACTGGCTAAGATATATATTATTAGTGCTTGAAATAGTTTCTACGTACCTTTGAAACAGCCTTTGACAACTAATTTATGATATTTCTTTGGTCCTTTTTATGAGATATTTTTACCAATCTCATCAATACTAATATAAAAAAAATATACAGAATAAAAGTGTGTAAAATTTTAAATATTCTACATAACAAATTTCATAAAGAGTAATTTTAAAAATATCTTTTAAATATTACCTAAAAAGTCGCACTGCGATTTATAAATGAGACTAAATAAATCTTCTAAAACGTATTTTATAAAAAGAACTAGAACTAGAGGGAGTATCTATGAAGATGGCTGGGAAAAAACTATGTTAAAATTAAGGACTTGGTTAATTCTTCCTGACTCTAAGTTAATGGTGAGAATACAATGCTTTCATATACTGTGCTTGATGCTTTTACATCATTTGTGACTTTGCTAATGAAAAATCCGATTCTTTAATTACAGTCCTAATTAAAACAAGGATCGATGCAAGTCACTTGTCAATCATATAGGGAAAGGTTGTTTGTTATTTATCTTTTATGCTCATGATGCCTATCAATGGTTTCATTTACATCTATTAAAGATTTGTAACTTTGAATGGAATAATTAAATTAGTACGTTTCTGTTGGCAAGAAAAAATGGGCGGGTTAAATGAATTTTGTTTTTTCATTGCTCATGAATAATAGTTTAATATGATATTTGAATTAATTAAGATTTATTTAGTATGACAAATTAGATTTTAAATAAACATCAAGTGATGTGAGAGAAGCTCACTGTTAAGAATTAAGCAAAAACTGGATATTATCTTTCATGAAGCAGTAAATTAAAATTTACGAAAATTCTTTTCGGACAGTAACATTAAGGACTTGTTTGGATTTTAATTAAAAAAAATTGATTATCAGGACACGATAATGTTTGAATAAATTTTTTAAAATTAATTTTGATAAAATTAGAGTTTGAATTTTTAAATGAAACAAAATTCAGCTTCTCCAGTTTGGGAAGCCAAATGAAGTTAAAATAATTATAGTGTTTGAATAAAAATTTTTAAAATCATAATTAGTCAGAATTGATTTTTCGAGTATATCCAAATAGGCCCTAAAAAATCACATCGTAGAAGTTATATGCCGTTATGAAAAATCACACACACACACACAGAGGGTTCACCAATTTAATTGTAGACAAGTATCAGGTCCTTGTGCAGAATAAAATTGGAATAATGGGCCGCTTTGAGCAATTTTTGCTATAATTAATTCAGAAAAAATAAATAAATAAAGACGAGACCAGACGCTTCTACAATCGGGAAGGATAATGGTTGACTGGGAAATAAGAAACCACAATCGGAGCTCCCTTCGATTTTGGTTTCTGAGAAGATTTCGATGTCATGTTATTAGCTTTTCCTTCGGCTTCGGTATGAT